CTTCTTGTCTCAACAGTCTTGTTTGTTCTTGAGCTTGTAGGGCATGAACAAGCTCAACAAGGGTCATCTGAGAGAGATCTTTCGTGTCTTCTAGTGATAAGATTTTAGCCTCAAACCTCTCTGGTAGACTAACGAGAACTTTTTCAACAATTCTTGCATCCGTCAACTCCTCGACAAGTAGTCTAATTTTGTTAACCACATTCATCAGTTAATCAACATATTCCTTCACATTTTTAGATTCTTGCATTTTTAACACCTCAAACTCCCTTTGTAGATTCATAACATGCATGTTTCTAGTTTTATCACTTTTACCGTACTCTTTCTTGAGCATATCCCAAGCTTTTTTCGATGTCTCACAAGCCATTATTCTTGTGAAAACCAGCTCTGTTACGGCTGAGTGTATGTGTGACAAAGCTCTAGGGGCTTTCATGGCTTCTTTTTCATGCAACCAGATCTAGATCAATGTGGGATTTGGTCCTAGTTGAGTTGGCTGCCTCTCTTCCGTCACATATTGCCAGAGATCTTGTCCCTTTAAATATGTCTTCATTCTAACCAACCATATGTGGTACTGTTCTCCATTGAAGACTGGAGGTAAGAGAGAAGCTGTGCTTGACGCCATAAAGACAGGTTTTGGATTTTAAGGTTGAAGGTAATTTTGAGGGGAGAAGATGAACTGTTTAAGGATAGATTAATCTCGGTGAAGAGAATTACAACTCTAATACCAATTGTTGGATTACAAGCTGGAGAATACAAAGAAAGAATGCACGAAAAAGTTCTTAATTTCATTAATTCAAACATTGATTATATACAGCCTAAACACATCATTGATTGCGTCTTTTAACACGCCTATTCTGCAGAGCATTAAATGCTAATCCTAGACTGCAGACAAATTTATCACGCTAAGCTACTATTACACGTTGTCAGAATTTTGAGCCAAACATTCCTAACCAGTTTGACATCTGACAGTCTTATCCATAATAACAGCTAAACCCTATAGGGTAATTGACCGTCTTCTGACATTCAACAATAATGGCTCTGACCTTCCTTCTGACAGGTCACTGCATGCTTCTGATCACAAGCTCGTTAGGTCGCTTGGACACTTTCTTGTATTGCTTCCAGATCGCATTACCCTCTGATCGCTTCATTCAAATTGCATGTTCATTACGATACATGCTTAGAGAACATTTACTTCACATCGCAGCTTTACTTATCTAGCTCATCTGGTCGCTAGCCTATTAGGTCACTCCCCACATGTTTCCAGAAAGATATCATTCACGTTAATAATATTCAAACAATCCTTGTAACTCATTTGGAACATTTTGCATGACATGCGATAACGGAAAACAATGATAAGCTCTTGGGAAAACATCAGAAACAGCAACTTGCAAAATTTTACAGTGGTCCGTGATGATTGATTGTGGAGGGCGTCCTAACATGCATGTAAGCCATGCCCTAAACAACCATGTATGGTCTCACCTGCAAGTAAACCACAGCCCAGTAACACTGATTGTCCACGGTGATTCATGCCAATAAATGAAACCAGAGGCACATCATATTTGTCTGCCAAGCATGTAGTGTCAATTGAAACTACATCACCAAAATACCTATATGCAACTCTTGACCTTGCATCAGTCCAGAACAGATTCCTCAAGCATCCTTTTCATTTAGATCTGCCACATTAAAGAAGTTAGGATCCATCAACTGCAAGCGACAAAAGAAATTATGAACAGATTGGGCATCTCCTGGTTTAAGCTTCAATTTATTGGCAGGGTCAACATTTTTCCCAAATTCTCCGTTAACATCTACATTTCCATTTCCCTCAGCATCAATAATCACACTTCGAAATAGCCGAATTTTTTGTACTTCATCAGCACCATCTAACTGCAATGTTCTTTTGGTTCCAGGACTTATGTGCTTATGTGACTTATAAAACTTTCCACTTGCTGGGCTAATCAAGTGGTTGTGCTCAAGCTCGACTTCAATAATTCTCCACCCTTTATTTTCCTTCAACCTGAACTTCATTGCTGGACAACCAGTCCTTGTTTCTGGTCTTGACCGATTTGCTTCAGTTTTCTTTGTGAAACCTGCACTACTGCAGCTAAGTTTTCCTCTGTTTTTTTATTTACTTTTTCTGTACCATGTGTTGCTAACTCTGACACCAAAGCCTTGTTCTTTGGCATAGCAATTGTAGAAGTAATACACATCCTCGTACGTTTCAAACTCCATTCCAACAGCGGGAGGCAGAGGATTTTGGATTATACCAGTTTGACCTACATATTCTGTCATTGCATAATCTCCAACAACCTCAAAGTCATCAATATCATCATCACCTGTTGGCTTATTGTTGAGAGAAACTTCATTCATCTGCAATAGATGTAGGAGAAAGTGAGCTTTATGAAAAAAGGAAAATAAAGAAAATGAATGCTGAAAAAAGTGAAACGAAGAAACTAGACATTTGCTTCTGAAAGGCTGCATATTTAGGTCAATATTTCACAAAATTAAAGGAATTTAAAAAAATGAGCTTTAATAATTTGATTCCATAATGATCACTTGCACCTGTAATAATTTTTCCTCAATTTTCCTTTCTCAATCATACCAAGGATCATTTTTCCTCAATTTTCCTTTCTCCATCATAACAAGGATCACATTTACCATCAGAACACATAAATTTATGACATAAGAACTTGACTAGAAACACAAAAGAATAGGCTAGTCCACATTTGAATTTGGTCGTAAAAAGTTATTGGGTTATGCGTCAACATTTCTGCCACAATGGTAACAAAACAACCACAAACTACATACAGACAACTTCAACCCAAATTAACAATAAGCTTCTTGATATTTCAAATAGTTAAGACACTGTGATTTGGGTAGTCGTGTCTAGAGATTTGCAACTGAAGAAGATTCAAGAAAGGATCGGGCAAAAGATAGGCTTAGTTGGAGATTCGTGGAAGAATAAAAGTATTGATGAGAAAGCATCGGACATCTTTAAGATTTTGCGCAAAAAGAAGTTTGTTGTATTATTAGATGATATATGGGAGAGGGTTGATTTGATCAAAGTGGTTATCCCTCTTCGTATTGTGGAAGTTGGATGTAAAATAGTCTTCACTACTCGTTTTCTTGTTGTTTGTGGACTCATGGAAGCTGACGGGAAGTTTAGAGTGGAATGTTTAGGAGAAGAGGTAGCTTGGAAATTGTTTGAGAAAAAGGTTGGGAGAGATTCTTGATAGTCATCCTGATATTTTGGAGTTAGCTAAACTTGTGGCGAAAGAGTGTGGCGGTTTACCACTTGCACTCATTACAGTTGATAGAGCCATGTCCTGCAAGAAGACACCTGAAGAATGGAGATATGCAATTCAAGTGTTAAGGAGAGCTTCTTCCAGGTATATCCCCTTCTAGAGTATAGTTATGATAGTTTGCCTGATGACAAGATGAGATCATGTCTTTTTATATTGTAGTTTATTTCCAGAAGACTAAAATAAAATTGATAGATTATTGGTTTTGTGACAAGCCATGGTTACTACATTATTGGTGTTCTTGTTCATGCCTGTTTATTGAAAGAGGAGATTATTTTGTAAAAATGCATGATGTGATTCGTGATATGACTTTGCGGATAGCATGTGAAATTTTTAGTTCAGGTGGGTGTTGGATTATCTAAAGCAACAAGGATCAAAGAATGGGAAGGAAGGATATCCCTGCCCGATGGAAAACAAAATTGAGGAATTATCAGTGACTCCCACACTCTTGACTTTGTTTCTTAACCTTAGTAGCTTTTTCCAATTCATGTCTTCCCTCAAAGTCTTAAACTTATCATATAATAATTTTCTATTACAATGGGATTTCAAATTTGGTATCATCATGGTCCACAATAACAGAGTTACCAATGGAGGTAAAAGCTTTGGTAAATCTTAAATGTTTAAGCCTGGAGTATACATACAATTCCAAGTCAACTGATATCCAATTTTTCAGAATTATATATAATGAGAATGATTGGTTTTGGTTGTAATCAAGAAGTGGAAGAAAATAGTGGTGTTGGAATCTTTATGTGTGCTGAGTATTACCTTAAAAAGTTGCCATGCTCTCCATACATTTCTCAACTCCCACAAGTTTCAGAATTATACTCACGCCTTGATGCTCAACGTTTTGTCTTTAGGCATCTTCGCAGACTAGAAATTGAAAATTGTGAAAATTTGGAAGAGTTGAACATGGAGCATGTAAAGGTAGTAGTGCAAAAAACAATTTCTGCAGCCTTAACAGAGTTCAAATAGTTTTTTTTTTTTTTTCTCTAGAATAAGAGACTTGACATGGCTTGTTGCTTGGAAAAATTCTCTTGTTATCAAGATTCAAGGGTTTGCTATTTCTTAACCATTTAGATTTTTTTATCAATTTAAATTTAGGTTTTATTCTTGATAATAAATTTGTAATTTACTATGCTGTGGCCAGTTCCTGATATTCTTTTCAAAAACATTATTCTTCCTGCAATTGCTTCCGTCCCACTCTTTGTACCCAATTCAGGGAAGACTCATGACTCGACATTGCTGGAAGAAATTCAGTGGCCAAACCCTGTCAAACATAACCAGAAGATTGCATGTAATGTACAGTTAAATGAGCATATTTTCTGCTTCATGTTTGATATTTAGATTGTAATTAAGCATATTGAGTTTTCAACTTGCCAAAATAATTGGCCATACATGATGGCAATGAGAACAGCCATAAAATTCAATGTCAGAGGAGAGGACACCCCAACATGAACTAGATTAAGTGATCCATAAGTTCATTAAAACAAGATTAATCAGAAAATTTTCAGATAATAACATTGAAGCTAAGGCATCAAAATGTTCTTCCAAAAAAAGATTACAATTTTTAAATCAACTCATGGTTGACAGGGTGGGACAAATCCCATATTCCTGTTAAATAATATTAATATACCATTGTAAATAATCTATATATACTACGCTACACATCCATCACCTTCAAGGTCAACCATATTTTACTACAACATTTTCTACCTGCGGGAGCAAAGGAAGTCTGTTGTGAAATATTATTTGCAGAAAAAGAACGGCAGACTCCTCTGGCTCTCAATCTGTTTCAAAAATGATAACTTCTAATTCTTTGACTCTTCATTAATGTGAGTGTAATCATTAATTGTATTCAGCCAAAAAACATTTAACAGGAACTGAATCCTAATCATCTCCATGCCGACCTTCCTTCCTGCCAGGTAACCTCACATTTGGTGGTTTATGTTGCATGTTCGAATGTACAGATCTTTCTCCATCATTCCGGGTCACAATTCTAATTGGGTGGGCTTCTGTATTAAAAACCCACTCGTCTAATGGGATCACTGTAGGGGGTGAGAAAAGGAGATACAGATATTTTAATGTCTCTGCAAGAAAGAAGCTTTGCATCATGTTGTCTTTGACTCCAGTATTAACCTGGGAACACAAAAATTATGGTAAATAAACAACCATATGTAGCAGTATATGGCATGATAAATCCAATCTCCATCAAGAAAAGCCAACTAGACGGCAGCCACAATCTTTATGCCAAGTCACGGGCCAACAATTTCAAGTCACAAGAAAACAATAGACTTTATGACCTCAGAGTAGGAGAATTGGACGTAATTTCCTACAAACCTTGAGTTTTGCAGAAAAGAATTGACAAAGGTCAGTTAATTATCAGGAATAAATAAAGTAAAATAGCATGACAGAATCCTCCTGGCCAGTTATTAGACATAATTAAGTGGGACATGAAGTGTAAGATCTCACCCACTATAAAAAGAGTTAGTATTAGAACAATTGTTTATACTGTGTTTGACATCAGTCAAAGAAAAACTTGCAGGTTGGCCATAAAGAAGAAATTAAAGAGAAATCGGCAAGGAAGATTGGCGTAACACATTTAACATTCTTCAGCTCATAAATCAGCTTGTAAACAATCCAAAGGCTTTTAGAAGTTTCCACACATGGCAATGCTACCACAGGCAGTTACCACTGTCTCATTAGTTAGACAGGTGAATTCTCAATCTTGGTATAACCACCTCTTACATGGACTATATAATTAGTGAAGTCTTTTCTTAAACGCTAATTAACAAAGAGAAAACATACAATAGCACTGAGTTACTAAAATGAAAGGTCAAAGCCACTAACAGAGGCTGAGTTTCTAAAGAAAATCACCACCTCTGGTATTGTAACAGTAATAATGGATAAATCGTGAAGCAAAAAAAATATATATAAACAAAGATATATATGATGTAATGCTGCAGTGCGAGATGTGCTTACATCTTTCAATCCAACATATCCAGACTCCACGCGGGAGTTCTTTTCGAATGCCTGAAAGATATTCCAACCCCACTCTTTGTATGTCTTATTCCCAGTTAAACGCCACAGGTAAAAAAGTGATTCAACTGTCTCTGGTCTCAATATGTTCCATGATGTACCTACAGTCATGTCCTGAAGAAATGATGCGTGAAGCACTGTTAGACAACTGAATTTAACTCATTGTATATCTGAGAATAAGGATAACTAACCTCCCCGGAATGAAAGAAATAATTCTCTCCCGCCAATTTTGTTGGTGTTGATTGGTAGAAGTTATAACACGTCCAAGCAAGCTTAAAACAAGGGGAAATAAAATCCAGTGAAAAGCCTAGTTGGAATTCTTGAATCATCCCTAGTTTCTATGCTCCAAAGAAGGCACACATAAATATACAATACTTCAGGGTTGGGTCATTCAGCAATCAGATTAAAGTTGATTTTGAACTCAAGAGTTTGGATTGTGTGTTTCCTCAAGGCTAATTAACCAAAGAAAGTTGAATTTAAAAATATGATTCATAAAAGACTATCTCTGCAATGCATCATTCCTATACTCAAAACAAGTTTAGGTTTAGGTCGAAATCCAATATTTTAAATTAAAGCTGACAATTTGTATATGTATGATCCAATATTAGATCCATTGAATCATCTTGGTATCTACACAAGAATTGTCCACATAAAAAAATTAAAGAAAAGCACGAGCACTTACACATACCAATGCTCATATATTTTTGACAAACTTATGAATTTATTGTCAGTAGCTTATTTGCTATCCTTGGATAATTCTTCCCAAACAGAATGGACACTATATGTAATCATAACTTCACCAAATTTCAAATGTCAAGTCAAAATGGAGCTTAAAATTCGAGAACGAAATTCTATTTCAATCACCACTAACATGAATTGAAGAAACAAGTTCAGGAATTTTTTTTTTTTCTTGTTCTTTTTCTTTCATATCAAACTTGAAGACTTACAATCCAGTTTTCAATAGGTGCTTTTCTCTGGAATAAGAACTAATTGTTTTCAGAAGATTATGCCCTGTCTCATTGGTGTTATTTAATGTATTTACTTAAAAATCAAAAGACAGAAGTTTAGGATGCAAGCTATAAGGGACATTGTGAATACCTCTTCTGCAAGCGAAAGAAATTTCTCAGATTCACCAGGCCCATAACCAAATGATCCTAAAGCCAGCATTCCAGGAGCAAAGCATGCTAATTCATCCATCTGCATATGTATATGTAGGATCAGAACTTCACTCAGCATTACCTAGCAATACAATAATGCAGCCCTACAATAGTGGTAAGAAAATAAACGTTACCTTATCTGTCAGTGACTCCCCATTTTTCTCACAAATGTATGCAAAAGATGATGGCGTTGTTCTCCTGATCATGGTTAATAGACCTTTCATTGATGTCTCCCACATATCCCTGTTTCCAAGTTTGACAAGATAACTCTGAGACCAAGAATTACGAACACAAACTTTTTGAATACTTCAGAGAGAGGGGGGGAGAGAATTTTATGTATCAAGAACATCAAGACTGTAAAAAAATTACATAGTAACATATAAAATCAATTCTGCAGCATTATCAATCTTTCTTTGAGCAGTCAGTGCTATTTTCCGCTAGAAAAGTTTTCATATCTGGCTTGTATACCAAATCGCCATTTAACTTTTTATAGAAATTCTACTACTGACATCAAAATTATAATGAGGAAGCTAATATTGGAAAAATAAAGTCATAATAGTACTGCATTTATTATGGACTCCTAAAGATGTTGGCTTCATCAAAGATGATAGCAACCACAGTATGAGGCCAAATATCTATTTCTGTTTTACAAAAAACAAAAACACAAATACCACAGAGTTTCATAGTCTCTCATAAATCCAAAAAAAGAGAAAGGAAAGAAAGAAAGAAATATTACTTTTTGTCCAATATTATTCACGAGTTCAGCTCCCCAAGACATTTTTACAAGAATGACTTTTTAAGATATAAAATGCAAACAGTAAAGAGTGGAGCATAACAGATACTGTGAACCGTGCAGATACATGCTCACTAAATGTCCTCACCTATAAGGTCTAACCGCTGAAGTTTTGTTCCCTTGTATCCAAACTTTGAGTAAATATTCATAAAAGCTGCAATTATCCACAAATTCAAGCAAACTTGTGAAATTATACTCATTCACTTGCATCAAGCAGTGAACATAGCAAGTAGCTAAAGGTCAAATATCATTATGTGAGCCCAACAAAGATCTAACAAATAAATAGTAAATGAGTAGTAAATACCTATCACCCATGGCACCAAAGGTTATGGTCGAGTATGATCTAGCCCCTCTTTCAGGATTAATATAGATGGGTAGCAAACCATCAGCAGGGAAGGTTTTATTAAGCTCCTCTATAACCCTCTCTGCCTGAAACATTAGCAGCAACCAATCAGATTCCCCAGAAAATTTACACTGAGAACCTTCATCACTCAAAAATGTAAACCCCTGATTTATTCCACTTGAACATATTTGCTTTTCAACTTTAACCTCTTGTGTGGAAAGCAAGGACATCAATGATTGACAATAATTTCTGAATGATAGATTGACAATAATTTCTGAATGATAGACATTATGTGAACAGCTTTTAACACAACATGTTGAACAACACATTCCACCACACATGTTCATAAATGCACAAGAGGAATATACCTTCTGCTGATACTTTGGGTCTCCTGTCCTTTGTGAAAGAGCAATAAATTCCACCTGTTCTGTGCCAGAGTCTGCTAGAATGCTATCACCCTAAAAAAAGGAAAGAAAGCATAAACAATCATAGAAGCATGTCTTAGAATTTAATGAAAGAACCAAACTGGTCAATAAATTGAAAAATAGAGCTGCCACAGAGGACAGAATGGTGTACTTGAAGACTAATATAGACAACTCTATACGTTACAATGAATAGAATTATGAAAATAGTCTCAGGGAAAATAATTTTACTTACTGGATAACCAAGCAACTGACAATGTGAAAAAGAATATATAATATATTTGAGAAGCTTCAAGAAAATATAGAGCACTATAAAGTAAAAAAATTATCTTAGGGTAAAGAAGCATCAAATTATTACAGTACTAAGTTATTATCTAAAAGATAAAGATAAACCAGATCAACTCAAACTATGATCCCAAGTATGACGTAAAGTGAAAAGTAGAATTTAAAAGTGGACAACTTACTCCAGTCCATGAAGGGTTATGCGGATTTCCACGAGCCAAGTTAATAATGTTATAAGGAATTCCTGAATGAGTATTCCATGCAGGCAGCAATCTATCTGCAATATCTCTAGCCTTCTCTAGGAAAACTTTGTCTTCTGACAGATCATATGCACTAAGAAGTCCACCTACAACTCTGAATCATGATTAAAGAGAAAAATAATCTATCAGTAAAAGCAAAGTACCAGGTTATTAATTCAAGAAGAGATATAGCCCTAAACAGTTGTTTCAACAAAAATCAACTATGAATTAAACCTGGTAACGCAACCTTATGGTTGTCTCAAAAACACTAGCTTCATAATCCTTGTTAAAGTCCAATGAGTTTGCAACCCAACTGCAAAGAAAGGCATTGTAATTCAAATGAGATTTCATTCATCAATATTCACGATTCAAAGTAATATGAACTGCATGGCATTACATACTCATCGACAGATGACGAAAAAATTTGGGGAGAAATGTGAATAGCAAAATAAAGAAAATAAAAAAGACAACATAGGTAGTGATTAGGAATTGAACAATCAAATTGATGAGACGAGAAGCCAGGCTGTGCTGGATGTGAAACTGGTTTCCACTGAGATGAGTTGGAGGTATGATAGTAATTATGAAGCTAAAAATCAAATATAAGAAACATTAATAAAAAAACGAAGAAGCATACAAAGGGAGTATAGGTCACATATATTCAAAATTTAACACCTTACGAACAGCAAGAAAGGTCTTGTCACACAATTTCATTTAGGGTACTTAATAGCTACTTTCAGACTTTATAATTACCTCTCATAACTGCATTTAGACCAGCAACAAATAGAGCAGTGAAAGAAAGAAGATGATACCAGAGTCATATGAAGAAAATGTGTAAGAAAAGTATTCATGAACTCAACCCAGTCATAATATACACTAAATAGATTTACGTCCCATAAAATTGTTTCTCTTAAGCTTTTTGGTTTTTTTTTTTTTGTATTAATTTTACTTTATTTTTGTTATTTCATTTTTTATTATTTTTTTATTATTTTTTGTTTTTAATTTTTATAATATTTTGGTTTTTTTTTATTTCCAATAGTTTTTATTTTTTTTATTTTTTAATTTTATTTTATGATTTTTTTTTTCTTTGTTATTTTTTGTTTATTTTATTTATTTTTTTTTTTTGTTTTATTTTTTTTTTTTTTTTTTATAATTTTTTTATAACTTTTTTTTTTTTTTTATTTTTATTTTTTTTTATTTTTTTTTTTTTTTTTTTCTTATTTTTTTTTTTTTTTTTTTTAATTTTATCTTTTTATTCAATTTTTTTTTTATTTTTTTTAATTTTCTATTTTCTTTCTTTTTCTGTTTTTAATTATCTTTTTGTTTTTTTTTTCTTTTTTTCTTGATTGTTTTATTTTATTTTTTTTTTTTTCTTTTTTTTCTTATATTTCTATTTCTTTTCTGTTTTTTTTTTTTTTATTTTTATTTATTTTTTTTATTTTTTTTTTTATTATTTGATTTTTTTTGTCTTTTTTTTTTTTTCTTTTTTTTTTTTTTTTCTTTATTTTTTTATTTTGTGCATGTTGGCTATTTTTTTTTTTCCTTTTTTTTTTAGGTTGCTTTTTTCTTATTTTTTTTGTTTTGTTTTTGTTACTTTTTTGTTTTTCCATATTTTTATTTTTTTTTTTTTTTTTTTTATTTTTTTTTTTTATGTTTATTATTTTAATTTTTATTTATTATTAAATAATATTTTTTTTATAATTTTTAATTTTAATATTTTTTTTTTTTTTTTTTTTCTTATTCTTTATTTTATTTTTCCTTATTTAATTTTTTTTTTTTTTATTTTTTTTAATTAATTTTATTTTTTTTCTTTTTTATTTCTTTTATTTTTTTATTTATTTTTACTTTTTTTTAATTTTATTTTTTTTTATTTAAACTTTCTCTTTTGTTTTTTTAATTTTTTTTTTTATTTTCTTTATATATTTTTTTTCATTAGTTTTTATTTTTTTTTTTTCATTATTATTAAATTTTTTTATATTATTTTTTGTTTTTTTTTGTTAATATGTTTTTGTTTGTATATTTTTTTTTTTTTTGTTTATTTTTATTTATTTTTTTTTATAATTTTTTTTTTCTTTCTTTATCATGAATAGGTAGGGCTTCTTTTGTATCTTTTTTCCGGGCTGTTAAGTCAACAGGAGTCACAATGCCCTTATTTAATTTTGCACAGTTATACCAACACTTTCAAAGGTCTTTCATATAGTTCTTTTTTCTCCTTTAGGGGGAGATCCGGCCTTTACAATAGGCATCTGATCCACCTTTGCACTTTCTTACTTCTTAATGTTAATACAATCTAGTTATGTCTCCTAACCAAGCAAAAAAGGGAGAACTAAATTCCAAATTTCAAATATTAAGCTAAGAATGGTAAAAAAATAGTACATATCTTGTTTTGGAATTCAATTTATCTGACCGTAAAGAAAAAATGATCATAAAACAAGCATGGAATTAAAATCTACAACCAAGAAATTATTTAAAAAGTTGATTGTTTTACAAGAACAGAACTAACCCAACAAGTTTCCAGATGTTTCTAACTTTCTATCCATTCAGTCAGTCCAACCACAGACAAAAAGAAAGCATCAAGCAAGGCAAAGTCAAAGTGGAAATTGTATCGCCTAGACCAAATTCTAGAATGAAAAATTCACTCTATGCACAAGTACTGTGCCTAAAAGCAAGTTTTCTAGAGTAGTGCTCCTCCCCATTTTAACACAAATAATACTATCTTATTCCTCATACAATAAAGTACCAACTAAAAAATAATTGATATCAAGATGTTCTGCTCAGTTCCATCCAATTTTTGTAACACAAAGTCAAGTTCAGGATTCCATTAAAATGCTAAAATTTCAAACCAAAGTCAAAGTTTCAAAGACATTTGAGTCAAGTAATGTTTTCTTGAGTTTCTCATTAAAAAAAAAAAAAAAAAAAAGAAGTAATGTTTTTAATTGCAGACTGTAATAATCATGCTTAATATGTTTAACATTATATCAGAGCTAACAGCATTGCAACTAATTTTCGAAGAGAAAAGACACATGGCTTAATAACTAAGAATTAAAACTGATAATCCATGTCAATCTGATCATATATCACTAACAGTAAGACATAGAAACCAAATAAACGTTAATGCGTGGAATATATAAACATATGATACGCTTGAAAATACCTGAAGTTCATCCTGACCCCATGCATACTTCTCATATGAACTCCATGCATGAATCATAGCTTCTTTTACTTTCTCTCTTCGCTGAATATCAGTAGGATCATCTTCAAAAACCTTGTTACCTGGAATCTTACCATGTTTTCCATTATTCTCAATTTTTCTAATTGCATTGCCATTACTATCCTTTAACTCTTCCAGCTGAAAGAACAAAAAATTCATCCAGTCAATAGTTAAGCAACCTTGAAAGTTTCTCATTATAAAATGTAATGCGGTGTGCCCATGGCTTAGAGAGCCTTATTAGTTACCTAAATGACATAAAGACAGATGAAGAGAACTTTTAATGAACATGTCAACATATCAATCAGAAAATATTGACCTTTAAAACAAATATGTTACTCATTCTATTTAGATAACAGTATTTGTGTAATACCCAGCTATAACTGTCAAAAAACTCTGGTGTTTTCAGGCCTACACGTGAAATTGCTAAAAGAATTGGTAGTCACAGACAAACAGCATATCATATAACCACAGAGAATGCTAAGCTAGATGATGAACAAAGATCTCCTACCATATTTTGCAATCGTGTAACTTCTTCACTTAACTTTGAAACTTCAACCTGCAAGTGAGAAAAAAGTTTGTTACTTATAAACACTAAACTGACAATAAAAGTTCAGGCAGAAAAAAAATGTTGAGCAACAAATTAATCCTAAAATGAGTTACGTTTTTAAGAAAGAGTCAAAAACTTAGCATCTAAATTTTAGCTTGCCCCTTAGAGATGCATGATAACAGGCTTGTTAAGTAGACCCACACACAAAAATGCATAACCATAGTTAAACAAAATCGATGGAATATTCCAAGCACAGGGACCCTCGATTAACTTGGCTCTAACAACATGTGAGTAATCATTACAATAAGGAAAGCGCTCAAAGATGGAATTTAAACTCTAATAAAGGCAATTTTTTGAACACTTATAGATTATGATTCTGGTCTTCAACTTGCTATGCAGGTGACCTTTCAAGGAAAATGTGTCTGACGTCTAGTTAACTGCACATTTGAGAGTTTTAGTATCTAGATCTCTAAGTTGGGTAGAGAAGAATATTTATTTGGCTCATCTATGGCCAGTTTGTTCACTTATTCTCGAATCCTTTTCATCCAATACAAACATTTTGTATTTCACATTTTAAAAAGTAATAGTATTAAGAAAACTAAAATATTAAAAAAAAGGAATAAGTAGTCTTAGAACTTTGCCAGTGCATTGATGAAGATGCACATATATAGAACATGCCCGTGTAAAAAAGTAATTAAGATATAATCAACATGATATTCAAAATGGTGTGGTGAAAGACTTCTCATTCTATCTCCCCCTCCCTCTTTTCTCTTCATCTTGCTCCCTCCCAAATCCTCTCCAAACTCCACTAACCTCTTTTAGGAATATGCGTAAAACAATGGTGGAAGTCAATGCTAAAGTTTGTGGAGAGAGAGAAATCTGAAGCTTTTAAAGGCATTTAGAGTCCTCTTGCATCTCAAGGTCCATATTTAAGAAAAATCTTCCTGTATTTAGTTTCCCTCTAGCTTATATCTTTTTTTACCAGTATTTTAAGTTCATTCAAGGAACAAATTGCAAAAGGTTTAGTTAAAAATTCTAGCTCTCTTTTCTTCCATTTTTCCCCTCTTTTGTGTTGCTCCTTGCGTTTAAATCATTTTACCTTAGTCATAACTCTCTTTGATTTCCTTTATTTCCATATCTCCTATAAGAAACTAAAAAAAGGTTCTGATACCTCATCATGTCAACATCTTAATAAATTCAGGAAAATAATTCACATCACATACCCACCCCTCGGTTCAATTATGTGTCTGTACGTGTCCTTGCCCCATTTTTGCCTCTAAATCAAATGTGTTCTCAGCCTATTTTATTATTTCCGTTGCATACTAGTATATTCCTAGAATCTACATTTGCCACAGTAGTGGAACTTAACTGTTCATTCTTTGAAATGTACCAGGAACCAACATGAACTCCAAGAACAATCACAGCCACAATCACAATCAAGTCAACAACATAATAATAACTCAGAAAAATAAATCACATTCAGTATAATCAAATTCAGTCAGATCCTCCACAATGTCTACAGAAATATTGCTTGATCCCAGGCGACATTTCAAAATTTTCCAGTATAATCAAAACTCTAAATTCATTCTCAACAACGACAACTATCAAATTATCATCATCTTAAAAATTACGTAATCAACAAAAACCTAAACAGAAACCACCAAAACAAGCAGAACAAAAACAAATAGTACATAAATTGAAAATAAAAATGTAATTTAATAAAATAATAGATTAAAGAAACAGGAACCTCGTGCTCTCTAACAAGAGTCTGGCGATCCCAAACAACTAAAGTTGCAGAAACGAAGACAATCAAAAGCAAAGCTAGACGTTTCGGTCGCTTCAGATAATAAGAAGGATTACAATATCTCCACTTGGAAGAAGAAGATGATGATGATCTGCTCCTCGCCATCCGATCAGATCTCCCGAGAACAAGAAACAAAACAAAAAAAATCGCGGATCCGCGAGAAGAATTAGGAAAGGACAGAGAAACTTTTGGAGGTGGTGATCATTGTTCGGCTGTTGAACGCAGCGTGAGGGTTGGTTGGTTTGAAGCGTGAAGAAGAAACAGAAGAGCAAGAGACGGAGACGGAGACGACGTAAATTTACAGGAGACTTGCGTTTGGTCTTCGGTCAAGTTAATGAGGTGACGTACACGGACTAATCAACAGTTGACATGTAATCATCGAAATCTCAACTCATCAACTGCATTCTTGTTTTTGGTTTTCTTTTCTTTAATTTAATTTTATTTAGACATAGCATGGTCAATATTACAAGTCTATTTTTATTTTTTAAAGGTTGGAAAACAGCGATGCTACAGACACCGGAAATGGGTACCAAAAAGTTACACCAAAATACGTGACTTTTGACTCAGACATGGCAATGTAAAACACGATAAAAGAATTTCGTAAATAGATGGCTGTCCAACATTTTCGGACAATCGTCCATACCTCATGAACTACCATTCATTTAGTAATGGACGACGGTCCATAACAAATATTTAAAAATAAGCACACTAGATAGACGTCTATCCATCTAATGTGGGCGACCGTCCCTATAAAATGGACGGTCGTCTACAATAGATGGACTAACGTCCATTTAGTGTTAAAATATTTTTTATAAAAAATAAAAACAAAAAAACATTGGATGGACGCCAGTCCATCTAGTATGAATGGTCGTTCCTTTTATAGGAATAGCTGTCCACAATAGATGGATTAGCGTCCATAAGCAATACAATTTTTTTTTTTTTTTTTAAATGAAAAGAAAAAATTAGATGGTCCATATGAGATGGATTGGCGTACATCTTATGTTAAAAATTTTAAAATTTTAACTTCTTCCCACTTTGTTTAGGGGAACATTGTTTGCTCTTATTGGGTCAATATGTGAGTGCCCAAAGGCAGGATCAGGCATTTGACCATGCATCAACCACTCAAAAAGCACCTGTCGAGCTTGTGATTGTTGTCGCTCCTGCAAAAGCTTCTGTTGTTGATGAAACTGTTGCTGTTGCTGCAATTGATGATGTTAAAGTTCAAGCTGACGCTGTTGTTGCAGATGAAGGGTCAAGAGATGTTCCACATCTGGAGCTGGATGGTTTGCCAACTGTTGTTGATGAATTAGATTCTGATTGGCAACTGTTCTAAAACTGATTCATTCAAGCATGTAGGAGGAAACATATTTCGCTATTGGAGCTGCTGTTGATGCAATTGTTTAGACAAAAGCTGCTCCGCTAGATCAAAATTTTTGGATTCATGTTCCATGCATCGCATGTGGTGAGCAGCCATAAGATCTTGATACACAATGGGGTCAACAAGTATGTTTTTTCTATAAATATCTGACTGTGTCTCTACAGCAAGAGTTGGATCAGCCATCGCACTATATGGAGCAGTCCTTCCCACACCAGAAGGCACATTTGTAGGTCTTGCGTGAGTTCCTTCGAGCTTCAACCACAGCAAGCCAAAAGGGTGCAACTTATTATCATTCTGAATTGCAATGCCAAAATCTATTAACTTAGTTGGACAAGAGGGTTGGACTAGTATCATGAATGTTCCCAAAAGACTTTACAATAGGAGCAGTATTCCCTGTTGATAAAATATGATGGACGACAGTCCATCTCATGTGGATGACTGTCCCTATAAGATGGACGACCATCCACAACAGATGGACTGGCGTCCATCTACTGTACTTTTATTTTTTTTTTTAAAATACTTTTTATGGACCCTCGTCCGTTCCACTATGAACGACCGTCCAGGAAGTATGGACGACCGTTCGAAACCGTTGGACGACCATCCATTTACGTCAGTGTTCTATTGTCCAACGTGGCAACGTCCACGTATTTCGGTGCAACTATTTGGTACCAATCTTTCGGTGGATATAACATTTTTGGGTTGGAAAAGCATTGCGTTTCATTTTGTGGTCAAACCCAATCGTGTCATACAATTTTTTTTTTTTTTTTTTTTTTTTTTTTGTAAAAAAATTGTATCATATCACACTATGTTAGTTTGATAACGGAATCTAAACTAAAATAATTAAATTTGGTATGTTCGGTGTTATCGGATTTTTTATAAAAGTTTTCTATTTTTGGTAATTTCAGGAACTTTTTTAAATAAAAAATATAAAAAAAGGTTCAGATCAAATAAACCGAATAGTACATGAACCACTATTAGGTAACTTGATGGTAAAAAAGCATAGAAGGATTTAAGTTTACATGATCTCCTGAATTTGAGTCTCCACAATCCCTAATAGGAGTAATTATTAGAGCTCTTATCTAGCTGATAGTTCTAGAGTTTCTTAGTCGATAGTTTTAAGGTCCCGAAAATTAATTGAGATACGGGTAAATTGATTTAGACATCCTTGATAAAAAAAAAAAAAAAAAAAGTTCTCTAAATGCTAAAAAAATCGTACTGAATCATTTGGTTTTTCAATTTAGTACAGTTTTACAATATTTTTGTCCACCCTTAATTATTACATGTCTATTATTCTACTTTAAAAAAAAAAAACTATTATAAATTTATTTTATATTTAGATAATAAAGTTTGCATAAAAAGTTTTGTAACATTTAAAATGACGATATTGACACTGTGATGTGGATGTAATAGGAACCATTGACATAATAAATTTACATTTTCTCAAAATTGTTGAACTCATCATTAAGGTCCAGCCATTGGCAGAATGAAATCAACTATTTTGGGGTCTTTAGTTGGGTGTGGTTTGAAGGCTTACAAATTAAATAAGGTCCACATCATTCAAAATATTTATGAGGTTAGATTTGTTTGGAATAAAATAATGTTCTTTAAAACCCACATATTTGGTAATCAGAATCATAGTCTCATTCCAATTGAAGTTGCATATATTCTTTATGGCCACAAATTTGCAAGAATGCCTGTCAAAGTTATATAAGGTAAATGTCCTCGATCATCCTCACGCATCTTAACAATTAAAAGTTTACTGAATATTTAACTAACATTTTCGTCATTTTGACAGCTTAAGAGCTCATAAAATATTTAATTAACCTTCATTTTGTCCTATTGATAGTTTAGCAGCTCATATGATGTCTAACTAACCTTCATTTCGTCTTTTAACAATTAGGGAGCTCACAAGATATTTAAGTAACTTTCATTTCGTGATTTGACAACTTAGAAGTTTATAAGATATTTAATTAACCTTCACTATAAGATATTTAATTAACCTTCACTTCATCCTCAAGCATCCACACACTTCCCGTTTGAGTTGCTTTGGTGCCAATTAAAACACCATGTTCTACTATGTTTTCATCCTCAAGCATCCACACACTTCGAGTTTGAGTTGCTTTGGTGCCAATTAAAACTCCATGTTCTACTATGTTTTCCGCTTTGGGACAAGGCAAGCGTCATTCATCCAAAACGTGTTTTGACAACTTAGGAGCTTACAAAATATTTAACTAGCCTTCACTTCGTCCTCATCTATCCACACGTGTCTTGACAACTTAAGAGCTTACATGATATTTAACTAACCTTCACTTTGTCCTCTTGACAACAATTTTCCTCGTTAGATATAGCTTGCATTGTCTATGAGAAATTTGTTAACATTATAAATTAGGGGTGGCCCAATCACCATCCCTGATTGTATAACCGAGGATTTGGTTGGGGATTCCCCGAAAATAAAGACAACCATGTCCCTAACCCGACCTGGCCCAAAATTCCTTAAAAATTAAAATTTTATATTTTTATTGTTTTGAAATTCTAATTTTCTTGATTAAACTATAAACTTAAACAGAAATAAAATATTTGGTTATAAATCTAACCAAATATTTCATAAACCGTACAAATATAAATGTATATATAGATAGATGGATAAAACTTATCAAGGCATTCTGATAATTTTATTATGCGGAATTTAAATTTCAGCCGTTAGATATTTTTAGTGGTTCATATTTTATTTTTACGTGAGAATAGTGAAAAAGATACGTCGGAGAGAGAAAGTGTAATAATATATAAGGTTAGAGAAGGTTCAATCCTATACAACCTTGAAACTTAAAAAACTGACACATACACCCCCCAAAATTCAATAAATTCCTTCTTGTTTAATTTGGCTTCAATAGATTGAATCCAAATATTAGGTTTGTGTGTTCTCTAATAAAATTTGTGCATTGCATATATTTATTATCAGGGAAATCAAATTAAATAGCCCTAATTATATTAACAAGATGTGTATAATCAGGATATTTAGCTTTTAAATACAACATAAAATGATAATTGAAATGAAAATATACTTCTACTTAACATTGTATAAGTATAAACAATAATACTGTTTTTCAAAAATTTATCCCAAATTTCATATTCGAAGTAATGTGTCAACATATTTGACATTGAAATATAAATAAAGTGATGATGCATTGAATGACATGACACGGCTCATATGATTAAATACCATTTGGGATGTAAAATTTAAGATAAATATTTAGGATAAGTAATGTTTCTCAAGTATAAAACATCTACTATACACAATTCGGAGAACAAAAGAATATTATTGGAAAAAAAATAAAAAATAAAATGTTGTAACACATTATTTTGGCCTATAACTTATTTAAGCTTGTTAGTTTTGATATTTTATTGTATATTTATGATCATTTGTATTAAGAACATTTACATTATATATTAACAAATAAGAATATTCAAAGCAAGAAAAATATTAATAAAAAAAAAAAATCAATTTCACTCTTTATCTTTTCTCCCTACTCTTACAAAATAAAATTTTCAATTTTAAATCAATATTTAATCATAAAATTGCGAATTGAAATAAATTATTTGTGGTAAGTTCTTTGAAACAAACAAAAATGGTAATTTGGAAGTGTTTTATTGGTTATATAAGTTGTTGATACAAGATTTGCACTAACTAGAAAGATTCAATTGACCTTGACGGAATTGGAACCGATGTGTGCGTGATTAAGGATAACCAACAATGTATGACAAAAATGTAGTAAAATAAATTACCCAAAGAGTTTTAAAGTGGTTCAGCAAGTTAAGATCTTGAGCTTACGTCAACTGTTTTTTGTAGTTACTATGAGAGCTTACAATAATATTCCTAGAACAATTTGCTAACCCCTTTCTCATCA